AGTTCACTTGCTTGCTTGCTTGCGCGCGTACGACCGTGCAAATCTTTTGGTCGTTTTTTAACCCACTTCCCGTGATCCAATCGAGCTGACATTTTCCACACAGACTCGTTGTGCGTGACAATTAATTTTCGTGAAATTTTTTTTCCAAAATTTTACACTTTTTAGGTAAATTTTTTTTTATATTTAATTACCAATTGCTTAATGGTGGCAGGCAATCATCTGACCCATAGGTGGCAGCCATCTCAAGCCAGAGGACGAGAGGACTCTAGCCGCCCGTTTCAAAGACCAATGTGGGCTGGGTTGTGGCCCATTGAACACGCATATAAAGGATTTATAGTGAAAAACTTTGTTTTTACGGGTAAATTTTTATATACACTGTATACTGGTTGAGGGTGGGAGGAGCCAAGGTAGGCCCTGAATATAATTTTTGTGAGGTTCGGTGTTGGCTCTGCGTCTACCACCAGCAGCCAGGCGAAAGGAAGGAAGAAAGACGAAGATCACAGGGATGGTGGCTCAACTTGCATTCGGCCCCTGGGACAGCGACGGCACACAGCCCCACTGCTCAGGGCTTGTGTCGCGACCTCTGCCGAGATGGGGAGGAGGGAGGGGGGGTCAAGTTGACCGTGGCGGCGTCGTTCCTCTGCAATGGCATTTCGCAGAGATTCACTCAACCCGACCCTCGTACCCGCGGCGTGCGTCCCAGCCCGTGTCGGCGAATTTCATGGCCGAGCCCGTGGTTTTCGTTTGCTGCGAACTGCATCCGACGCGCCCTGCAACGCGGTTCTTTTGATGCCGATTTCTGCTTTGCCCCCTCGCCGCACCTAAACTCCGCTTTGTCATTGCGGTGGTCACGGCCCAACGTTCCACCTGTAGTGACATGGGAGGGGCTGCTGGGGGGCTCTGGGACCCTGGGCGGCCCAGGCGCTTGGGCCCCTTGGCGCCAGGCGCTGGGTTCCCAGGCGGCCCAGGCGCTTAAGCCCCTTGGCGCCACCAACGGGGGGGGGGGGGGGGGGGGGCTGTGTGTGCTCTGTGGGATATCTGGGGGCGCACACAACCCCACCCCTCGTTGGGGACGAGGCATAAAAGGGGAGCTCCCTGGCCGATCAGGGCCAGTTGTAGCTCAAGACCCAAGACCCAAGACCAGCCATCTCAGGACCCTGGGACGCTGTGAGGGCCAGTGGTGGGACTCTGGAACTCCCGGCTCTACGTCCTTGTGAGGGCGAGTTCCAGAGCGTAGCCAGAGTAGTGTATCTAGGCTGTGTATCTAGGATGTGTACCTAGGCTGTAACAGAGTATCAGGACTGTTGGAGTGTTGGATTGTAATAAATAAGTTTCCTCTACAAGTGTCTCCGGAACTCGTTACACACCGTTGGGGGCACAACAATTGTAAGCCGAGCCGTGCGCATGTGGGGTGGAGCAAACCGTGCGCCGCATCCCAATCCGCAAGCTCAGCGGAGGTCTGCTCGGAGTATCATCATCGCCGGATGCAAAGCGCGTGGCTCGGGGACTTTGCATTCGCCAAGTAAATGAAACTGCGCTGGAGGCCGGGTCCCTCGCCCACGAGACTCGCTGCTGATCTCTTTGACTTCATCTCGGGTCACGCGCGAAAACAACGCAGCCACTCGAAGTCAACAAACTTGAATGCGAAATCTGTCTAGATTTGAAGTTTTCGTGACTGCAAGCATCCATACTCTTTAGTTCTTTCGGTAAAGTCCAGTAGGTAGGTGAACAAACAAAATGAGAATAAAAATAAGAAAATTAAAAATAGAAATAACTAAATTAAATCACTATCACTGATTTTAAAAAAAATTCTATTTTTTTTTATTCTCATTTTTTTAAATTGTATTTTATGTTTTCACCTACCTACGTGACTTTACCGACAGAACCAAAGAGAATGCAACATCTGTTAGATCTGTGTTACGCACATACCCAAAGTACATTGAGCCGAAAACTGAACACGCCAAAACTGAAAATGTTTTGAATACAATAGGCAACGTTTCAGGCGATGGCCCTTCTTCATAGCAAACAGAGAGGGGACCAGGCAGAGAACACAACGAGCAAGTCCCGTGACGGCAGCGATTATGGAATGTGAGAGAGAGACCTCGACTCGTGCTGGGAGGGGAGGAATGCAACCCCCAGAGGACCTCCACCATGGAGATGAAGCGGTGGGAGCCTTTAACATTGAAGTCTATGGGAGCCTTTAACATTGAAGTCTATGGGAGCCTTTAACATTGACGTATATGGGAGCCTTTAACATTGACGTCTATGGGAGCCTTTAACATTGAAGTCTATGGAAGCCTTTAACATTGAAGTCTATGGGAGCCTTTAACATTGCAGTCTATGGGAGCATTTAACATTGAAGTATATGGGAGCCTTTAACATTGACGTCTATGGGAGCCTTTAACATTGCCGTCTATGGGAGCCTTTAACATTGAAGTCTATGGGAGCATTTAACATTGAAGTCTATGGGAGCCTTTAACATTGAAGTATATGGGAACCTTTAACATGAAGTCTATGGGAGCCTTTAACATTGAAGTCTATGGGAGCCTTTAACATGGAGTACATGGGAGCCTTTAACATTGAAGTCTATGGGAGCCTTTAACATTGAAGTATATGGGAGCCTTTAACATTGAAGTCTATGGGAGCCTTTAACATTGACGTCTATGGGAGCCTTTAACATTGAAGTCTATGGGAGCCTTTGACATTGAGGTCTATGGGGACCTTTAACATTGAAGTCTATGGGAGCCTTTAACATGCAATCTATGGGAGCCTTTAACATTGACGTCTATGGGAGCCTTTACCATTGAAGTCTATGGGAGCATTTAACATTGAAGTCTATGAGCGCCTTTAACATTGCAGTATATGGGAGTCTTTAATATTGAAGTCTATGGGAGCCTTTAGCATTAAAGTCTATGGGAACATTTAACATAGAAGTCCATGGGAGCCTTTAACATTGAAGTCCATGGGAGCCTTTAACCTTGCAGTCTATGGGAGCCTTTAACATTAAAGTCTATGGGAACATTTAACATAGAAGTCTATGGGAACCTTTAACATTGCAGTCTATGGGAGCCTTTGACATTGAAGTCTATGGGAGCTTTTAACATTGGAGTCTATGGGATCATTTAACATTGAAGTCTATGGGAGCCTTTAACATTGACGTCTATGGGAGCCTTTAACATTGACGTCTATGGGAGCATTTAACATTGAAGTCTATGGGAGCTTTTAACATTGAAGTCTATGGGGGCATTTAACATTGAAGTCCATGGGAGCATTTGACATTGAAGTCTATGGGAGCTTTTAACATTGAAGTCTATGGGAACCTTTAACATAGAAGTATATGGGAGCCTTTAACATTGAAGTCCATGGGAGCATTTAACATTGAAGTATATGGGAGTCTTTGACATTGAAGTCTATGGGAGCCTTTAACATTGAAGTCTATGTGAGCCTTCGACGTTGAAGTCTAAGTGAGCATTTAACATTGAAGTCTATGGGAACCTTTAACATAGGAGTCTATGGGAGCATTTAACATTGAAGTCTATGGGAGTCTTTAACATAGAAGTATATGGGAACCTTTAACGTTGAAGTCTATGGGAGCATTTAACATTGACGTCTATGGGAGCCGTTAACATTGAGGTCTATGGGAGCATTTAACATTGTAGTCTATGGGAGCTTTAACATTGGAGTCTATGGGAGCCTTTAACATTGAAGTCTATGTGAGCATTTAACACTGCAGTCTATGGGATCATTTAACATTGGAGTCTATGAGAGCCTTTAACATAGAAGTCTATGGGAGCCTTTAACATAGAAATTTATGGGAGTCTTTAACATTGAAGTCTATGGGAGCCTTTAACATTGAAGTCTATGGGAGCCTTCAGCGTTGAAGTCTATGTGAGCATTTAACATTGAAGTCTATGGGCACCTTTAACATAGGAGTCTATGGGAGCATTTAACATTGAAGTCTGTGGGAGTCTTTAACATTGAAGTCCATGGGAGCCTTTAACGTTGAAGTCTATGGGAGCATTTAACATTGAAGTCTATGGGAGCCTTTAACGTTGAAGTCTATGGGAGCCTTTAACATTGAAGTCTATGGGAACCTTTAACATAGACGTCTATGGGAGCCTTTAACATTGAAGTCTATGGGAACCTTTAACATTGAAGTCTATGGGAGCCTTTAACGTTGAAGTCTATGGGAGCATTTAACATTGAAGTCTATGGGGGCCTTTAACGTTGAAGTCTATGGGAGCATTTAACATTGAAGTCTATGGGAGCCTTTAACATTGAAGTCTATGGGAACCTTTAACATAGAAGTCTATGGGAGCCTTTAACATTGAAGTCCATGGGAGCCTTTAACATTGAAGTATATGGGAGTCTTTAACATTGAAGTCTATGGGAGCCTTTAACATTGAAGTCTATGTGAGCCTTTAACGTTGAAGTCTATGGGAGCATTTAACATTGAAGTCTATGGGAGCTTCAACATTGGAGTATATGGGAGCCTTTAACGTTGAAGTCTATGGGAGCATTTAACATTGAAGTCTATGGGAGCCTTTAACGTTGAAGTCCATGGGAGCCTTTAACATTGAAGTATATGGGAGTCTTTAACATAGAAGTCTATGGGGTCCTTTAAATTTGAAGTCTATGGGAGCCTTTAACATTGAAGTATATGGGAGTCTTTAACATTGAAGTCTATGGGGTCCTTTAAATTTGAAGTCTATGGGACCCTTTAACATTGAAGTATATGGGAGTCTTTAACATTGAAGTCTATGGGAGTATTTAACATTGAAGTCTATGGGAGCCTTTAACATTGAAGTTTATGGGAGCCTTTAACACCAATTCTACGGTAGCCTTTAACATTGAAGTCTATGGGGAGTCTTTAATAGGCGATGCCTGGTGATGCCCAGGATAACTGGGTTTGTGCAGCAGCAGGAGTAGCAGCAGCAGGAGCAGCAGGAGCAGCAGCAGCAGGAGCAGCAGTAGCAGCAGGAGCATCACTCTCCCCTCACCTGACCATCGGGTAGCCATGGAGAGATGTCTTCCCCGTCGCCTCTCTTGCCTCTTCATCCGACGACGACATCCAGCCCGCGTGATAACCGCAGTGGCAACCGGCTGAGAGGTGGGGGAGTGTGCGGGGGGTGGGTCTGTAGAGAGTGGCACAGAGAGAGAGTGGTGAGAGAGTGGTGAGAGAGTAGCACAGAGAGAGAGAGAGAGTGGTGAGTGACTCTCTAGAGAGTAGCACACACAGAGTGGTGAGTGAGTAGGACACACACAGAGAGAGTGGTGAGTGAGTGGTAAGTGAGTGGTGAGTGAGTGGCGAGAGAGTAGCACACACACACACACAGAGTGGTGAGTGAGTGGTGAGTGAGTAGCACACACACACAGAGAGAGTGGTGAATGAGTGGTGAGTGAGTAGCACACACACACAGAGAGAGTGGTGAGTGAGTGGTGAGAGAGTGGTGAGTGAGTGGTGAGTGAGTGGTGAGAGAGTAACACACACACACAGAGAGTGGTGAGTGAGTGGTGAGAGAGTGGTGAGTGAGTGGTGAGTGAGTGGTGAGAGAGTAGCACACACACACACAGAGTGGTGAATGAGTGGCGAGTGAGTGGTGAGTGAGTGGTGAGTGAGTGGTGAGAGAGTAGCACACACACACACACAGAGAGTGATGAGTGAGTGGTGAGAGAGTAGCGCACACACACACACAGAGTGGTGAGTGAGTGGTGAGTGAGTGGTGAGTGAGTGGCGAGATAGTAGAACACACACACAGAGAATGGTGAGTGAGTGGTGAGTGAGTGGTGAGAGAGTGGTGAGAGAGTAGCACAAAGAGAGATATACTCTCTAGAGAGTAGCACACACACACAAAGAGAGTGGTGAGTGAGTGGTGAGTGAGTGGTGAGAGAGTAGCACACACACACACACACAGAGTGGTGAGTGACTGGTGAGTGAGTGGTGAGAGAGTAGCACACACACACAGAGTGAGTGGTGAGTGAGTGGTGAGTGAGTGGTGAGAGAGTAGCACACACACACAGAGTGAGTGTGAGTGAGTGGTGAGTGAGTGGTGAGAGAGTAGCACACACACACACACAGAGAGTGGTGAGGAGTGGTGAGTGAGTGGTGAGTGAGTGGTGAGGCATTAGCACACACAGAGAGTGGTGAGTGAGTGGTGATTGAGTGGTGAGAGAGTAGCACACACCCACAGAGTGGTGAGGGGTTGTGAGTGTGGAGTGGTGAGGAGTGGTGAGTGGTGGTGAGTGAGTGAGTGGTGAGTGAGAGGTGATTGAGTGGTGGGAGAGTGGTGAGTGAGTGGTGAGTGAGTGAGTGATTGGTGGAGAGTGGTGAGTGAGTGGTGAGTGAGTGAGTGAGTGGTGGGAGAGTGGTGAGTGAGTGGTGAGTGAGAGAGTGGTGAGTGAGTGGTGAGGTGAGTGGTGAGAGAGTGAGAGGTGAGAGAGTGGTGAGTGGTGGTGATGAGGGTGGGAGAGTGGTGAGTGAGTGGTGAGTGAGTGGTGAGTGAGTGGTGGGAGAGTGGTGAGTGAGTGGTGAGAGAGTGGTGAGTGAGTGGTGTGAGAGTGGTGGGAGAGTGGTGAGTGAGTGGTGAGTGAGTGAGTGGTGAGTGAGTGGTGAGTGAGTGGTGGGAGAGTGGTGAGTGAGTGGTGAGAGAGTGAGTGAGTGGTGAGTGAGTGGTGGGAGAGTGGTGAGTGAGTGGTGAGTGAGTGAGTGATGGTGAGTGAGTGGTGAGTGAGTGGTGAGTGGTGAGATAGTGGTGAGTGAGTGGTGAGAGAGTGGTGAGTGGTGAGTGAGTGAGTGAGTGGTGAGTGAGTGGTGAGTGAGTGGTGGGAGAGTGGTGAGGTACCTGGGGGGGAGTGAGTGGTGAGTGAGTGGTGAGTGAGTGGTAAGTGAGTGGTGAGTGAGTGGCGAGAGAGTAGCACACACACACACAGAGTGGTGAGTGAGTGGTGAGTGAGTAGCACACACACACAGAGAGAGTGGTGAATGAGTGGTGAGTGAGTAGCACACACACACAGAGAGAGTGGTGAGTGAGTGGTGAGAGAGTGGTGAGTGAGTGGTGAGTGAGTGGTGAGAGAGTAGCACACCACACAGAGAGTGGTGAGTGAGTGGTGAGAGAGTGGTGAGTGAGTGGTGAGTGAGTGGTGAGAGAGTAGCACACACACACACAGAGTGGTGAATGAGTGGCGAGTGAGTGGTGAGTGAGTGGTGAGTGAGTGGTGAGAGAGTAGCACACACACACACACAGAGAGTGATGAGTGAGTGGTGAGAGAGTAGCGCACACACACACAGAGTGGTGAGTAAGTGGTGAGGGAGTGGTGAGTGAGTGGCGAGAGAGTAGAACACACACAGAGAATGGTGAGTGAGTGGTGAGTGAGTGGTGAGAGAGTGGTGAGAGAGTAGCACAAAGAGAGATATACTCTCTAGAGAGTAGCACACACACACAAAGAGAGTGGTGAGTGAGTGGTGAGTGAGTGGTGAGAGTAGCACACACACACACACAGAGTGGTGAGTGACTGGTGAGTGAGTGGTGAGAGAGTAGCACACACACACAGAGTGAGTGGTGAGTGAGTGGTGAGTGAGTGGTGAGAGAGTAGCACACACACAGAGTGAGTGGTGAGTGAGTGGTGAGTGAGTGGTGAGAGAGTAGCACACACACACACACAGAGTGGTGAGTGAGTGGTGAGTGAGTGGTGAGTGAGTGAGTGGTGAGTGAGTGGTGAGAGATTAGCACACACACACAGAGAGTGGTGAGTGAGTGGTGAGTGAGTGGTGAGAGAGTAGCACACACACACAGAGTGGTGAGTGAGTGGTGAGTGAGTGGTGAGTGAGTGGTGAGTGAGTGAGTGGTGAGTGAGTGGTGGGAGAGTGGTGAGTGAGTGGTGGGAGAGTGGTGAGTGAGTGGTGAGTGAGTGAGTGAGTGGTGGGAGAGTGGTGAGTGAGTGGTGAGTGAGTGAGTGAGTGGTGGGAGAGTGGTGAGTGAGTGGTGAGTGAGAGAGTGGTGAGTGAGTGGTGAGTGAGTGGTGAGAGAGTGAGAGGTGAGAGAGTGGTGAGTGGTGAGGGAGTGGTGAGAGAGTGGTGAGTGAGTGGTGAGTGAGTGGTGAGGGAGTGGTGGGAGAGTGGTGAGTGAGTGGTGAGAGAGTGGTGAGTGAGTGGTGAGTGAGTGGTGGGAGAGTGGTGAGTGAGTGGTGAGTGAGTGAGTGAGTGGTGAGTGAGTGGTGAGTGAGTGGTGGGAGAGTGGTGAGTGAGTGGTGAGAGAGTGGTGAGTGAGTGGTGAGTGAGTGGTGGGAGAGTGGTGAGAGAGTGGTGAGTGAGTGGTGAGGAGTGGTGAGTGAGTGGTGAGTGGTGAGGAGAGTGGTGAGTGAGTGGTGAGAGAGTGGTGAGTGAGTGGTGAGTGAGTGAGTGAGTGGTGAGTGAGTGGTGAGTGAGTGGGGGAGAGTGGTGAGGTACCTGCAGGGGGAGTGGTGGTGAGTGTGGTGTGAGTGAGTGGTGAGTGGTGAGAGAGTGGTGAGTGAGTGAGTGAGTGGTGGGTGAGTGGTGAGTGAGTGGTGAGTGAGTGAGTGAGTGGTGAGTGAGTGGTGAGTGAGTGGTGGGAGAGTGGTGAGGTACCTGCAGGGGGAGTGAGTGGTGAGTGAGTGAGTGGTGAGTGAGTGGTGAGTGAGTGGTGAGAGAGTGGTGAGTGAGTGGTGAGTGAGTGAGTGGTGAGTGAGTGGTGAGAGAGTGAGTGAGTGGTGAGTGAGAGGTGGGAGAGTGGTGAGTGGTGAGTGAGTGGTGGGGAGTGGTGGTGAGTGGTGAGTGAGTGGTGGGAGAGTGGTGGGGAGTGAGTGGTGAGTGAGTGAGTGAGTGGTGAGTGGTGGTGAGTGAGTGGTGGGAGAGTGGTGAGTGAGTGGTGAGAGAGTGGTGAGTGAGTGGTGAGTGGTGGGAGAGTGGTGAGTGAGTGGTGAGTGAGTGAGTGGTGAGTGAGTGGTGAGTGAGGGTGGGAGAGTGGTGAGTGAGTGGTGAGAGAGTGGTGAGTGAGTGGTGAGTGAGTGTGGGAGAGTGGTGAGTGAGTGGTGAGTGAGTGAGTGAGTGGTGAGTGAGTGGTGAGTGAGGGGTGAGTGGTGAGAGAGTGGTGAGTGAGTGAGTGGTGAGAGAGTGGTGAGTGAGTGGTGAGGGAGAGAGTGAGTGGTGAGTGAGTGGTGAGTGAGTGGTGAGTGAGGTGAGGTACCTGCAGGGAGAGTGAGTGGTGAGTGAGTGGTGAGTGAGTGGTGAGTGGTGAGAGAGTGGTGAGTGAGTGAGTGGTGGGAGAGTGGTGAGTGAGTGGTGAGTGAGTGAGTGAGTGGTGAGTGAGTGGTGAGTGAGTGGTGGGAGAGTGGTGAGGTACCTGCAGGGGGAGTGAGTGGTGAGTGAGTGGTGAGTGAGTGGTGAGTGGTGAGAGAGTGGTGAGTGAGTGAGTGGTGAGTGAGTGG